TTAGTTGAAGCAGCTTTTGGAAATGAGAGGTTAAGCCTCTTAGATGCATATTCAAGCTATCACCAAGTTCTAATGGCTTATGAGGATTAAGAGAAGACCCCTTTTTATGCCAGAGATGAAATTTACTACTATATGATGATGTCCTTTGGCTTGAAAATCGCTAGTGCAATGTACAAGAAGATGCTAACCATTGTATTCCAAGCTTAGATTGGCAGGAACCTAGAGACAATATCTGCTAATTCATTGTAGCACTTGTCTCGCCCACTTTCAACTTCTAAAATGTTAGAAGGAATACCTTATTTACCTCCTCCTCATTCCCCTCCATTTTAGAAAATTCCACCTCTACTCCCTCATCCTCGTGCTCCATAACCCTAACTTCCTCACTCCTTCCAACACACAAAGTCTCTTCGAAAGACATATCCTTTGTTTCATAACTTTCACTACATGAATTAGGTGGTGGGGCGTGGTTAAGATCTTCAGGTAGTTAGGACCTTTAGCAAGCTTAAGCTTGTATACTATCTTCCTCTCACTCTTAAGTCTAACTTCTCTAAGAGGGCTAAGGTCTAGATCTAATAACATAAAGGCTAAATCAAATTCTAAACTAGCCTTAGAAGATGAGCTTATAAAAGGTTCCCTAATCTTGGCTAGGCTGAACTGAAGCACTTGGCATAGAAATTTGAAGTTGGTTGCTTGAGTTTCGAAAACAATGAAGCTCGGCAGCTACGATAACTCAAGTAAAATTTTGGCAGCACGTCAATACTAATATAGCAAAGTAACAAAAAATTTATGCAAGTGTGACTATATATACTAGTACTTTACATGCCTCAATGGCCACGATTCACCTCATCTAATGGCTAAGATTGCACTCTTTCGAATTCGACAATTATTTTCTATAGCTTGTATTTATAATAACATATTTTTTTATGACAGCTATCAGTTGCAATAATAATCTCTTCCCAAACTAATTAAATTGGCCCAGTTAGGCCTAGCCTAGGCCTTTTTGGCTACATTAAAATATCCACACTACTCCCACATTGTTTATGCCATGAATTTTTACTTTGGTT